GGCCAGAGCACTCAGAGCATCCAGAGCTTACTCGGAGACAAGTGGGAGACAAGTGGGAGACAAGGGTGAAATCATGCGGCCAGGAACACAAGCCCGGAGACAAACTCAAAATCATCCGGCCCGAGCATGCACCCCTTTAAAAGGAGTAATTAAAAGGAGTAAGAACCCCTCACAGGTAAACCTTCTCAATTTGGCCTAGGAACAAGAACGCTACTAGGAGCTTTCGGCATCGCTACTAGGAGCAAGGACGCTATTAGGGAGCAAGTAGCTACTAGTAACAAAGGGCACGATTCCTTCTTTTTTTCGTCGTGCCTCATTTGAGTCTAGATTCTGGTGCCTGTTTTTGGGTGACTAACATAGACAAAATCCAGTGGCCTTCAATCAGTATGCCAGCATGTGGAACGATCTATGTTAGCCTCAACTGCGAACGGACAACTACCGGGACAAACTAGGCTGAGCTCGTGCATAGCTAAAATTGCGTATTTTTCTCCATGGTGGTGTTGATTTGTCCAACGTAAGGTTAAGTAGCTATAGCCTATAGCAGATCATAGCCGGGAAGCCACTAGTGAAGCTAACAATGCAAAGTACAGAGTTCGGATTTTTCAAAGAACCTTTCGTGTTTTTCTTCCGATTTTTTTTCATGTCTTGCTCGGTGTTGCGGTGAGTGCACTCAGAGTGTACCATTCCACCTTAGGAGAGTCAGCCTCGACTCTGTTTGGACTGGTTTCAGGACGAAGCTGCATTGTAGCTGTGTCCGGTATCGGCAATTTTGGACCAATCTTGAAAGGACCGTATCTTTAATGAAGATACCTGCATGGATGCGGACGATGCATGCCCCGTGGCTATCCTTGCAGGTGCGAAATATACTTAATTTCTACTGAAATCTGTGATCCTCTTTGACCCAAGGCTTTGACTTCCACATTCAAGAGTTTAGTGCTATGGCCGATGGAGATCTCGACAACTGGATTCCTCTCTTTGACTTGACGCCTTCATTGATGAATCTTGCACGCAATAAATGCATGCACCCACGCACTCCGATGTGTGTGTGTGTGCGCGTGTGTTTGCATCTCTATTTTCTCGTGTTTGAGGTTTAGACTTGTTGCCAGCGGCGGCCTTGATGTTGCCTGCCAGCAATGGTTTGCTACACAATTGCTCACCAGCCAAGTCAACGTCCAACCATGGGGAGTCAACGTCCAACCATGGGGTTTCAATAAGGTGCACACTTCATATTTGAAGCTTGTGATCTCCAAATTCGTTTGCCACAAAGCACCCCAAGAGGATCAAAAGGCTGGGGCTGACAGCTGATGGTGAGGATGCTGTTCACGTCTTGCGGATGTTGCAGGCCACACTTCGAAAACTTCTCCCACCTGCCGTCCTTTTCAACAGGCAAGACAAGCCTCAACAAGCCTCATTTCTGAAGTTTGGGGCGTTTCTGCATGGTTGTGTCAAAATCGGATGTTCCAAACAAATCCCATTGCAAACATTCCCATAAGAGGTTAGGACAGACATGGGGTCCCTAAATAGTGCTAGTTGAGTAACCAGAACGCCACATTGCTCGATTGGGTCTTGGATGTCAATGCTGACATGTGTTTCAAAGCGGACTTTACATGAAACTACGATAAAACGGGAAGAAAGAGAGAGAAAAAGAAGTGCTCAGAGTCCAAAGGCCTCAAGAACACAAGAAGAACAGAAAAAGACCTGAATAGAAGATTCATAAGACCACCAAAGTGGTTGTTAAAAGATGATGTCATGTGGATTTGAAGCCCACGCGGTGCCCTGCTTGGGCAGGGAGCTTCGTGATCAAGTGCTGGGGCGTGCCAGCAGCAGCTTGAGAGATTTCATGTGATGTTCAACTCGTGCGAGCCTTGGACGGCTGAGATCACTTGAAAATGGTATTCATCGCTCAATCTTTGACATTCTCGGCTGTGTGCTGAGCCCCTAGTGGCTTCTTGTTCCTAGTAATAAGAATGCTGCTAGTAGCGATGCCAGGAGCCCCTAGTAACGTCCTTGTTCCTAGTAGCGATGCCCTTCAACCTCGGTTTGCCGTGCATTTCCGCACAACTCAACCGAGGTGAAAGGTCCAGGTGGTCCCTACTACATACAGCAGTCTCTTCGAGCATGTCGTTGTGCAGATCTATTTTCCAGGAATTCGCTTTGGACAGAGCCCTCCAAATGGCCTGTGAGGGCAAGGTGTACAGAAATCCTTAGAGACCGCCCAAAAAAGTGTGAAGCGATCAAGGTTCTTGAGTCTTTGAGGTCTTGTTTGTTCTGGTGCTTTTGGCGACGGCTTTGACAGGAAAAGCGCTAAGAGATCTGAGAAATCTCCCAGGACGTCTCACTAACGCAGCTAGCGACTTGCACATGTTTAATTTTAGAACTAGTGCTGAGGGATGCTGAAGCACGGTTCTCATTGTGTGGATAAGATATGGCACGCCACCTTGGTTCTCATTACAATGTTTGCAGAATAAATTCTCGTATCATTCGAGCAAACCACATGTGAGGAGAAAGCGATCGCCTTCTCGAAAGAGGACTAAGTGGCCATCGTGTGTTCTTTGTGTTTTGGGAGTATATATTTAGCGTTTTGGACCTAGGAGCAAAGGGCATCGCTACTAGGAACAAGGACGCTACTAGGGGCTCCTGGCCTCACTACTAGGAGCAAGGACGCTACTAGTAGTAAAGGACATCGCTACTTGTTGGTGACATCTCCGCACTTCCATTTTTGCTGCCGTAAGTGACTCAAACGCACTGAGCCGCAACAGACCCATGAAGGGGTGACTCTTCTGCAAGGATCAGGATGGCTTCTTTGTCAAAGTAAAAAATCCATTGCAGAAGACGCAAGTACATACAGGGGTGTCTTTTGCACATTGGTTTATTCCCATCGTTATAAAGACTCACCGCCTTGCCCCACCAACATCCAGCTGTTTGAATTACCCTTGGTGGCACAGCCACCTGGCACAGGTGGGATGGCGGCTATGGCCCTCCGTGGGTGGATTACAATTATGGTGCAGGCCGATCGAGGGGTTCCAGTAAGGTTCATTGCTAATGTTCACGTCGCGGCAATAAACTTCCCCCTAGTGAAACATGAGGGGGCAAAAATTGGTGCATCGCAGTTTGTTGGTTTCTCGCCGTAATAAACCTCAGACCTGAAGATTAGGACAGCTTTTGATCGTTGTGTTAATTGATCGAAGAAAGAAAAGCAAATTCAACATAATTCAACATTTACTTAATTGAATCTGGAAAGAGATTTATTATACAGGACAAAGTCCGGTGTTTATTGTTGCCTCCTAGGAAGCAGTTGGAATTGAAAGGAATGTTTTACATTGACTGTAGCTTATATGTTTATGTCATTGGCACTTTTAAGGGCCACAGTACCTTTTGCCAAAACTTTTGGCGGTTCTTTAAAGGACACAAAGAGTTTGATGGTTTTTAGGTTGGCTAGAAGAAATGAGTTTGAATGTTGTTGTTGTTGATGATGGGTCAATCTTGATACAAGCAAGTGTAGTTTTGACAGCATCTAGTTTATAATTGTAGTTTTTGAGAAGATACGTTACTTCGAGTGACCACCACCATTGCATTTTACTCTGCTGACAACCGACGGCTATATTGCCTCAACATCGCCAAGAAAGTGTCTATTTTTGATATATTCTGGCATTCTATTTGGCATTCTGTCTGGCATACATTCTGGCACTCTATCTGACATATGTTCAGGAATTCCATCTGGCACATATTCTGGCCTTTTGGCATGTATTGTTGCAATCTATTTGGCCAAAATGTTGGCATAATATATATCTGGCGTATATTCCGACATTCTATCTGGATTTTTTTCTGACACTCCAGTTGGCCTATTTTCTGGCATTCTTTCTAGGATGTATTCTGGCACTCTGCTTGGCGTGCATTCTGGCATTCTATCTTGCACATGTTCAGTTGACATTTTTTCTTGCATTCGTTCTGGCATGCTTGCTGGCACATGGCATATATTCTGGCATTCTATCGGGCAAAACTCGGGCTATCTATCTGGCTCAGATCCGGCATCGCCCACTGCGATCCAGCGCTCGCGGTTGAGGCCCGGGGCTGCCCACCCGGCACTGCCCACTGCAATCAAGCCCTCGCGGCTGAGCGAGGGGAGGACAGCTCGGATAGAATCTGACAACCTTCACCTGGCAGGTGGGCTCATAATTGACTGCTCACTCTTTTCAACCTGAGGACAAAGCGGCCTTTATTGACGGTAGTTAGATGTAGTTAGTTCATTATAGAATAGGGCTCCTAGGGACCCTCCGTGGTGCCGTTTTATGGTTGAGGGGCTTCCATAGAACTTTGCGCTCCCCATCAGGGGGGTCATTGCGATCATTTTCTATTGGGGTCTCCTTAAACCCCGCGAAGTGAACAACATCGAACTTATAGTGGATGCATTCTTGTCACCCACCATAGGCTCTAGTTCAACTTTTTTGGAAATCAACCAGACAAAATAGATTGCAATTTTATAAAGGTTGTAGTTCCCAAAAAAATCTGTGTGTAGTCAATGTTGTTTTTTAGTAACTTAGTCAAGTTGATAAACGTGAGAAAACATTTTTATACAAAAATTGTGGCAACCAATGAGTCGCAATAGATTGTCATGTTATGGAGGATGTGGTGCCCTAGAAATCGGCTGGATGTACATTTTTGGTTAACTCCATGAAATTGGTTGACCGTGAAAAAACAATGTTATACAAGCAACAACCCGAGAGAAAAGGATTGAACACACTCTTAAATAGAATCCTGAAAAATATCCGCTGCTGGTTTGTTCTTTCGGGTTGCTCTGGTAAACTCCGCTAGTTGTCCGTGGTTGCCAGTTCGCTGCTGACTAAACTATTTATGTAAACAACCTCATTTCAACACTTGTTTAAGGGGGGGTACCCTTTTGGAGTTTGCAACCTTTATTTAGACAGGGATGTAATTTTCTCTTGATGGTCCTGAGGTCACTATAGAATAGACAAATAGACAATATGAACCCAAAAGGGTTTTTGAACACTATATATAGTAAAGAATCTGCAGAATCCTAATTGTTTTTTTTTCTCCGGGCTTTGGTATGCTCTGGTACTTGTCCTTGGTTCTCCAAATTGAATGCCAGTTTGCTGTTTGTTAAATCTTCTTATGTAAACGGCCTCATTTCAACACTTTTATGTAAAGGCTCCTTACTAAATTCTTCTCTGAAAATTTATCCTTGCAAGAACTGATTGCTTATAGTTTGCAACCAGAGATTGTCGCATCGATTCCTGTCGTATCGATTGCTCGTACCGACTGCTCGTATCATATGTCTGTCGTGTTCGAGATGATTCACTGAACTCTCTATAGAATAGACAAATTGTATCAAACTGTTTCAATGTATTTTTTGTTCACTATATAAAATGACCCTTCTATAAAATCAACTTTGGTTCCAGACATCACTAGTACTTGAGATCCATGGGCATTTTATAGAGGCCTATCTTGCCTAAATGCAGCCACGCCTAACCCAGGTCCCCTATTTTATAGCAGTGAGGTACCTGGGAGGGTGTTTTTCAATTCTATAGAAGTTCAGGGGTGCCCTCCAAGTCAAAAATTCTATCTATATAAAAAGGGGACATGGGTTAGAGGCGTAATTCCCAGGGGAATTGTATAAATAAATCATAGCTGTGAACATTTGTGAACATTATGTGTGACAACAGCCTCACAACAAACTATTTTGGACCATGAGCATTAAAGACGGCGGCGGGCCCTTGGTGAATTCTTTTGCTCGCTTGGAAAGATTATTGCCTTGGGCTGGCTGCTTCGATTTCTCCAGGGTGGGACATGCCTGGCTATGGCAACTATGGCTATGGCTATGATGGATATGGCCTGTGGCTCAGACACGCCAAGAGAATTGCGTGACTGTGCGTAGCTTTGAGCCGGGTGAGCACGCACTTTTTCCAGGCAATGGAAAGGGCTATGGAAAAGGCACAAAGGATGCCAAGGCACCCAACATGCCAGAGAGATGGATCTAGAATCACCTAAGACTTGTGCTATTTTGAATCTACGAAGCGTGTCTCCTGCGTGTAACATGTTGCCAGGGTCTAGTTCGGGGCCTGCTTGCATCAAACGCATTGCCAGTCACAAAATGGGACCCTTGGCTGCACAGGCCCCTTCTTTAGAACTAATTTATTTTCAAGTTTGTTGCCATCACAATTCGTAGTCATAGTCTTTGTTGTTGCGCAGAGTTGTGTCACTTGGTAGGTCCTTCACCTAAGGATAATGATGAGAACACCCTCTACGTTGGCGGCCTGCCATCGGCATCTCGGTTTGACGGTTAGATATGTGTAAATAAGAGGTTGCGACGGTGGCTGCTACAACCCTGATATTGAGGAGAGAGGGATGAACCAGGGGCTATATACGTGACTGCAACTTTGTATTAGCGAATGTAGAAAGGGCGAGAGGCCGTATACAGAGCAGCTAGTCGTGTTTAGGCTCACAGTTTGAATTGGAGTCTTGCGAGGACATGACGGACCTGGAGATGTATGTCCTTTTTTCACCTTTTGGCCGCATTGCGCCTCGGGGTGCCTCTGCGAGGGTTGACAAGGAGCGGACTTTCCTTGGAGCTGACGTTGCGATGCAAAACACCATATGCTTCGACTACTTTGCATGCTTCATCATCCAGGTTGGCCCAACATCAGACATGTTCGGGCAACTAAATTAGTAACAAGAAGCTACTAAGGGCTCCTGGCCCCCCTGGCCTTACTACAAGGAGCAAGGACGCTACTAGGCCTAGTCGTGACTTGATGCACCTCCTGCGTTTTCTATTGTGCAGGACACCGGCAAATGCACAGGCGACTGGTTTTTGCACGTTTCCATGTAGGGCCCGCCGCAGCGATGTTTGGACTTCCGGTTTAGGCATTGGCTTTGTCAATTATTTGGAGTCCGGCTCCGCTGAGCAGGCCAGGCGGCCAGCCCACTTTGTTCTATTCAGCTAACCTTCAATTCTTTTGCTGGTTGAGTTGCTGAGGCCATTCGAAGACTTCATGGCTTTCCTTTCCCAGATGGTACTTGGCTTACGGTGAAGCTTCTTGGATGCATAGTATTGATGAGAGATGATGAGAGGCAGTGGAATTAGTGACCTGGCTTGCCAAGGAAGAAGGGGCCACCCAAGGAGAAGGAAGAAAGACGGAGCTGCTTGGCTACAGTTGAGACTGTCAAAAAGTACTGCACTGTAGCATCGCTCCTTGGTGTGGCAATACTCGGAATTGCTTGCTATGACAAGCTCCCCTGAGGGTGATGATTTTGTACGGAGACGGCCAGAGCTTAGCATCGCACTCCAAGGGGAGTGGAAAGACTCAAAAAAGACAACGGAAGAAACAGGATCCGAAACAGGACAGCCAAGGTGCCACGGCAACCTTAGACTCAACAACATTGTGTAGTTGTTCATGCGCTTGGAGTTCTGGAGCAATGTTGCATTTGGCGAAGCCCCAAGCTAGAAAAGCTCAGAATAGCTTGACTTGGTTTCACAAGAGCATGTTGTGACTGTCCCTTTATTTAGAGTCCTTTGACTCATGGTTTGTTTACACCATGATCCCACCAAAATACCTCAATGAGAATGTAATTTTTTCGGCGGGCACGCAAAGCAGCAAAGCATTGCGAATGTAATGCATCCATTCCCTCTCTCTCTCTCTGTCTTTCTCTCATCTCTCTCATTTAAAATGCTTGTATTGTTTCTTGTTCCTAGTAGTATGGCCAGGAGCCCCTAGTAGCTTCTTGTTCCTAGTAGCGATGCCCTTTGCTCCTAGTAGCGTCCGGTCGCTACGTGGCCATGGCCCATGGACTCCATGGACGCATATTTGTGTCCATCGCGAGCTATCGGGACAATCAGTGCCAGTACACCATCCAGGATGGGATTATATTTGTGTTTTGCTTTTTGCTTTGAAACATGTTTCACTTTTTGTAATCATTGTTTCGCTCCGTGAAAGTGAAGCAGCTTGTTCCAGATGTGCAGACGTGACATCGTGACATTCTCTCGATTCTATGTGCCATTTGGTTTAGCATCCAAGCCCAAGCGCATGGAGCGGGGACTAGGACCTCTTCAGCAAGGCAAAGCATCCAGAGCGAGTCATTGTTGGGGTGTGCTTCCAGGCTCATGAATTCGCATTAATCATGTGTTGCTGTGTGTCCGCTTTTTTCTCAGATATTTTCTGAAGAATGAACAAGTTAGTAAAGCGGCAAATGTTCTGTCTCCACATATGCACTTGCTTTTCGGTGGACGAAGACAATGAGCCAGGTGTCTGAGGAAGACACAGACAGTTTCCTGCTTGATCTTGGCCTCTCGGTCCATCTCGGTGAAAGCCACAAAACTCGCAAAGTCACATGTTGTTACTTTGTTACTAGTAGCTTCGTCCTCCTACAGTAGTAGTATGGCCAGGAGCCCCTAGTAGCGTCCTTGCTCCTAGTAGTAAGGCCCTTTGCTACTAGTAGTTTGTTTGTGTCTTTTTATGTTTGCTGTTATGTTTCATTATGTTTGTTGTTTTCGCGCCTGTTTTCATTTTCTCACCTGCAACACTGAGACCAGTGGTGTGGACAGATCCGCTGCAGCTTCCTCTTACATCGTGACGCGAAAGGTCCGTGCTTCGCCCGGGCTTTGATTCAAGAACAACTCTACAAAGGAGAGGAGTAACAAGGAAAAAGGATGAACAAGGCATGCAAATAGGGGAAAGATGAAAGATAGAAGAAGAGGTTCCTGCAGTTTCCTAAGTTTATTCTTTTGAATTGTTGTTGATTCTTCAGGAGAGGAATTTTATTTTCAGATTGATAGCCACATGCGTCTCTTGGACGCCGTGGGCTTCATTCGTGTGCATTTCTTTCTGCGGCCTGTGATGTAATTGCAGGTTCTACATCTTTGCATTTGTGTTTTGGACTGATTTGGCCAGAACATGACGTTCTCAGGTTTTGTGCAAGACTGGGATACGCTCTGCATAGAGCAGCTCCAGCTGTGTGAAAGCCCAAATCCCATCCTCACTACGTATGGGTCCAGCAGCTTTGCAAAATGAGTAGCACAATGCAAACAATGCACTGAACATACTGTGATGGAAAGGAAGAAAGAAAAAGGTAAAGGAAAAAGTCTATATAAAGGTCGTTTAAAAAAAGAAAAAGTCCGAGAAAAAGAAATGATGAGGAAGGGTAAAGCGGTTCACTTTCGCGCGACATGCGAGCACGCGTGAAGCATATCAAGTCAGGCATTGAAGCCTCAAATTGAACATTTGTCCCTCCACCCAGATTGACCAGTAAATTGAGAGCTGTACAGGAAAGGGTTTAGATCAAAAAGCAGTTGTTCATCATGATCATTTGTTTGACTTGAATCATCTTCCACAAAGCTGGATGCTGGAGTGACTCAAGGCTACAGTTTGCCAAAGAGCTACAGAGCTGGCACGCCTGATTGTGCAGAGTTGATATCCAACAAGGCACGTGGTCTTGTTGGTCACATGTGACCTTCAACATGTCACACCTCTTGGAAGTCCGAAGCAGAGAGGCGTTAGCGATCCTTTGTGCTGACACCTTTGGGGATGCCAACCAGGATGAGCTTTGGCCGGTCTCAGGTGACAACTTGGGAAAAGTTTCATTTAGAGACTTGAAGACTCAATTCAAGACTCAAAGAGATCTTGGTGATGACCTGCTTTGAGACCTTGACTTGAATTGTGCGAGCAAGGACCCCTTCCTTCGCATCAAGACGCGAAGCTGTCGAAAGGGTTTTCTCCAGCCTCCCCCGGCATTCTTTTGGACAGCCACTCGGCCTTTGAGGAAATGACCAGCATTTTTGGCCGAGCCAGCACATTTGCCAAACTGCACCCCTCACCTTCACCCTGCACATCTGTAATTTGCCTAGCAAGCTGGGTGGAGGCCATCACTACTAGTTAAGTTTCCCAAAAAATCAGGAACCAAATCAGCGCGAGCTATCCTGCGTCCAGTTCCTAGTAGCTTAAGTAAGCTACATTAAGCTACTAGCTACCTAGCGACCTCCGCGGCCTACCCCCCTCCCCGCGTGGGCGAAAAGACAGAGTGCACGCAAAGCTTCTTGTTACTACTAGTAAGGCACTTGTTACTACTAGCGTGGCACTTGTTACTAATAGCTTCTTGTTACTACTAGTAAGGCACTTGTTACTACTAGCGTGGCACTTGTTACTAATAGCTTCTTGTTACTACTAGTAAGGCACTTGTTACTAGTAGCGATGCACTTGTTTCTAGTAGCTTTGAAAAGAAAGAAGCTGTCAAAAAACCATGCCGCTTCGATCTAAGGCACGCTTCTCCTTCTCTCGTGGAGAGGTCGTCCGCGAAGTTCCGTATGACCCCCATTTGCAATATGTGCCCCCTGGCAACATGTCACCAGCTGTGGGAACTGTGCTACCTCATATGGGAATCGTAAAAATTGCAAGGCATTCGGCAAATTGGGTGATTCTTTGGCGTCGAAGAATTTGCCAAAAAGGTTCTTTGGAGAAGAGATCTCAATGTCCGTGAGACTTTGGACTTCGGGCTGGGATTGTTTCCATCCAACCAAGGAGAATCTTGGCTCGTTGATCACGCAGTTTTGCCAAAACAGCTTGTCTATGCTTCCTTTTTTGTAGCCAAGGATTGCATTTCACTTGGCCAGTCGGGCGCATAGGTATTGGTTCCGAGAAGTTCAAACCCAAAAGGAGCAAGTGGAGCATGAGCAGAAAGCCAAGTGCAGCAACTTGATCGCCTCAGATTGCTGAGAGCCCTTTACCGACGGGTGTGGAAGATAGTTGGACCAAATATTCGACCCCCTGAGTCAGTGACTGTCACGAACTCACGAACCCCTTACTCCCAAAGCTACAGTTGAATTTGTGGCACCAGGGTTTGAATTGTTTCGTCCATAGCACTGAGTTTTGGGGTGGAAGGGGTCCGAGTGGCTCGAAGGCGCGCTAATATTTCGTCTATCTATGATTCGGCTTAGGATTCCGGCTTCTGGAAGCAAGAAGAAGGACCTTTTAACTCATTGTGTCAGGTACTCTAAGAGTAAGGGGTAATTTTTTGCATGTTTTTTCATTATGAATCATGCGCTGTTGTCGTTTGCTTTTTGACCTTGCTTTTGTCTAGACTTTAGACCTTTGTGGCACCCAGTGCGATGCACCCATCTCAGGGATTTGTGGCATGTTGGGGACACCGTGGCAGCATAAGCTCCATCAGCCACCTGAAGCTCCCTTTGGCTTGGGGACACAGAGGACACTGGCAGCTTACGAAGGTACGATCGGGTACGATCGAGTACGATGGCACCTGAAGCGTGTTGAGGGATGAGGGCACATGGGCGGTTCCGCAAAGGCTGTTGGTTGTCTTCGGTGTAATGCTCACATATCAATGTCCTTAGTTGGTAACAGCCTGTTATGTCTACATTGAGTCTACACTCCCAAAATACCCACGTGATCCCACGTGACAATCAGTCTGAATAGGCGACATGATTGTAGGCACAGGCATGAAAGCACACCCCTGTTCAAATTTTTGGTGAGCCTGTCACGGACATACACTTTATCACTCTTGTCAATCTTCCAGACGCAAGGCGGCTAGAATCTGCATACATATTCCTAGTGGCCTCAACAATCCTGGAAATCAGATCTTGAGCACAGTCGCAAGCAAAGCAGATTGGTCCAAAGAGTGTCATTTGTTGCTTCGGTGGCAGCAACCCATGGATGGTGACTCTGGCATGAACCGCAGTAGCATCTTGACGTGTTCTGACTCAATGTAAGACAAGATTCACAAGTCGTGCTGATTTTCTAGCTGCTAGGAGCAATGTTCGTTGCTAGGAGCAAAGGGCATCGCTACTAGGACATTGGGCCAGGTTTCACCGGCGTCGATTTCAAGCAGCTGCAGCTGGAGCCACGGGCAATGCTCGGTGGCCAAAGCCCAGAAGTCTTTGCACCGCTATGGGCCGATGAGCAGAGGGCCTCTTGTAAAACAGAACAAGAACTGGAACGAAGGGGAAGAAAGTGCCAGAAATTTTGGCTTATCAGAAATTGACTCTTGGGGGAAAGATCTTGAGATGTTCTCTCTGGAACGTATTTCGAGGTATTCAATCTCAGTACTTAGTACTGAGTATCCGTCCCAGAAACTACTCTACTGCACTAAGGGGAAAGAAAGGCCAGCGAAGCAAACATGTCTTCCTTGAGATGTTGCTTCCCTTGGAGAGTTTTGTCAAAAGCAGTGGAAGTAGTAGGCTCGATGAAAAAGCCACCGAAGTCGAAAGCTGCAAAATAAAGTGAGCATCAGGGACCAACGCCAAGCCGATGGCATAAATAAAGGAGAAGATGAAAAGGAGGTTTGCGTGTCATTTCGCTGGTTTCGCATGGTTTCACCAAGTGTGAGATTTCGCTGGTAGGATGTCCTGGGCCCGGGCACTGCTGGAACAATATTGCCCCACTGCTTTAGGATATGTTTCAAGGAAAGTGTGAAAAGCTTATGCCTAGGAGGTAATTCCTAGGGACAAAATACTGCAAATTTGCACATGTCGAAGTTAATTGAGTGACAGTTGATTGTTGATGTCCATGCCCACAACCCAGTCCTTTTGTTTTCTGTAGTTTTCGACATGTTTTTGTGGAGCGCTCTGTGAACAGATGTTAGAAGTATTGACGCAAAGAGTGCACAATTGATGGGGTGAATTGACCAAGTTGTAAGGAGAAGATGCTGCTTAACAACCAGTTGAAGGATGTCGAGTCATGGGCAGGAAAGGGCAACAAGTCGGCTAACGCCAACATAGCTGTCCTGGAGGCTGGCGTGAACTACATTTGCTCGTGTCACCCACGGGTTGTCCTGCACATACACCATGCTTTGTTGCCTTGGCGCACGCCAGAAAATGCCCTAGCAGCCTTTATGTCAATGTGAGACCGAGTCCAGAGTTTTCCGGACGGACCTGCGACCACTAGCAGGGCCCTAGCCATACTCCATTCTGGCCCCACCCGGCCTTCATTGGAAGATGTCGCATACACTAGCCTTTGAGAGAATCGCGGTCCTGCGAGCATATATGTTGGAGGCCATCGCTAGTAGGTTCCGTAAAATAACAGGTACTGAGAATGTTTTGAAGACTGGTGCTGGTGCTATGAGCTGGCTGTGCAAGCTTTTGGACTTTGGACGGGCGGTGCTTGTCGGATGCTGGTGCTGGTGTTTGCCAGGTCATGTCTACGCAGATCTTATTTTAAAAAAACACGTGCATTTTTTGTTTGTTTGGCAATTTGGGGGGCGGTGGAGACAATGTTGGATGAGCTCGTGATGCAGAAAATGCAAATCGTAATATCAGAGCTTTTGCTCCTGGTTTGCTGGAAGCATAATTGCGGGTCGATTCGGGTGACGTCTTAGTATTTGTACTTTGTCCCTCTGACTACGACCTGCATTGATATAGATATATATATATATATGTGGCGTCTGTCCTGTTACCTCTAACTGTCAGTAAACAATTAACACTGTTTTAGAGAAAGGCCTTTATTAACCATGATCATCCACTGTTACAGGTAATAGGATAAATATATATATATATATTGATTGATTGATATTGGTGTTTACTAGCTTTTGTTCTTCCTTCCTCAGGCCCCCCCATGGCTGCGACTGACTTTGTTTGCCTTTGCTGACCTTGTTGTTCCAGCAGAGCCCAAGGAGATCAAAAAAAGACATTGACAAGCCCAAGCAGGCTCATGATACAAACAATAGCCATAGATTTGCGCCACCAGCGAGTGGCTTTGTACAAGGGTAGGAATGGGGTGGACATATTAGCTGCCCTTGTGACAAGCAACTTTTCCCAGAGCATTTTCTTGGCAAGAGAAGCTCGGCAAAGTTGCTAGTGGATGCTAGTGGTGCTAACATGGCATATGTGGATGTATTGTAGTAGATCTGGCAAGCCCATGGACAGGTCCCTAGTAGTCCCCAGGTGCTCATTCAATTAGTTTCAAGGATCGGGTGGTATTGTTCTAGTTGACCGAGATAGTTGGCGGAATTGGCGGTAGACCTTGAAATGTGTGGTCCATAGCATTTTGTGCGGCGTTCCTTGTTTAAAGAGTTGTACCTCCCCCCTTGGATTCCTGTCCTCCTCAGAACTGTGCAGTAGGCCCTCCACAAGCAGTGAACACGCATCAAGAGAGCACCCCCTCCAAAATTTAATTCTAGCCAAAGTACCTACTCTAATGATTCTTTGAGAAACTGAACTCAAGAAAAAACCGGTTCACTTTCGAAAAGTTGCCGCCGGTGTGTATTTGAAGGCAAATCGATAGTCTTGTGAAGCGACAGGGGTTTCTGCGTGGCGTGCTGTGCGGTTGCATTGGGAAAGAAATAGTAGCTTCGTGCTACTAGTAGTAAGGCCAGGAGCTACTAGTAGTAGCGATGCCCTTTGTTACTAGTAGCTTTTTGTTCCCCTCTATTTTCCCTGAAGGCAAAATGTTAATTGAACATGTTTGCTTAACATTTGCAATCAGCCTTTGCTGCATTTGTCTCCTCAAGCTGTTGCGACAGGCAGGATACAACGTTGATGAGGCCTTGTTTCGTCAAAATGCATTGGCAACGGACCAACTTCAGCTCACAATTATTCATACTTGCAGGCCGCAAACATGAAACAACTTGCAAAGATGCGAATCGACCAGCTTCGATCGCAACTTCCGGGGAGCGCCTTAGCTGCCAAGCATGAAAGACGCTCCTGAGTGCAAAATTGCTGTGCCCCATGCTAGCAGTCCCGCTTTTGGCACATTGCCCACTAAGGTCCTCAGGTGAATTTGGCACTGAGCAAAGCTTTCTCGCACCTTGCGCAACTTGAAGACAGCACCCAGGCATAGAGCATTCCGAGGGTGACCGGTGACCAACAGGCTTCGAATCTTGGGAACACGGGTTGCCATGTGGAATAGTTACGAATATTATATAAGGATTATAAGGTGGATAGGTTTTGGACCCTGTGCAGCGCAGTTTGTTGCGCACAAATTCAATAAAGCATCTTTTTCTGGAGAGACTTTGGTAGCTTTGATTCAAGCTCTCGAGCCATTTGCGCTCCCACGGTTCAAGTGTTGGTCTCAGGTAGTGGGCAGACCAACGCAGCCAAAGCAGCTGCCGAGCAGGCAGCTCACTATTTGTCATTGACCAAGGCACGGCTCGACGTTTAACGATTCCTAGAAATGGAGGAACGTTGAATGGTGGCACAATGTTGCACACGAACTATCCCAAGTTACTGGGCTCAAATTAGGATATGGACACCGCTAGTTGTAATTACTCCTTTTCAATCACGACAGTCAGAACAGCTTTGTACTTTATAGCTGGGAAACTGTTGGTATCCTTTATTGACACTTTCTTGTGATGAACTGCCACACTTCTCCGCCAGGGAGCTAGGGCTACAGCTTTCTGGGATGCCTCTACCAAAGCAGCTGAAGCGGCTCTCAGGACACTGACCTGCAGTGCGTTTTGCTTGGTGAAAGATAAACTTAAACGAACACATTTCTCCAAGAGGTTGACAAGTTGAGGACTGGAATGCCTGACAGCGGTTGCAAAGAACAAGGGTAAACGGGTAGTATATGTTTGTGCGTTGCACATGTGACTCACCAGTGCTGGGGCAGGATGGCACTGTGCGATTGGCCAAGTGCGAAAGAAGTGCTCCTGACCGCAGTGGCAGATGTAACTGACGCACTTGAAGACCAGGAGGCAAGCAGTTTGTCAGCTTGAGCTGCGTTCAATTGTGGATTGGGGCATTTCATCGAAGTCATAGGCCTTGAAGGTGGCATATGACATTATGGAGGCGATCCACCGAACACATGAAAGGACTGGTGCCACATGCATGTTCTTTCCAGCTTTGATCTCTTGAAGTCAATGTAGAGGACAAGGGAAGAGTTTTGGGGTTTCCTTCATCCACCTTTGTCTCCTTATTCTATCCGTTGTCGAAGGGCCTGAGGCAAAGTATGTAGTTTTGCCTTTCCTCCTCTTGCTGCTTGCGCTTCCATGATCTGAGGAGGCGAGCTTGCAGTATCGTTTCGTTTTGATAGCTTTGTCTCGTTAGGACCGATGACAGGAAAGGTCTGGAGAAATTTCATGCAGTCCTCAAGGCCCGGGAGTTGCTCTTTTCTTCCATAGAGGTGCCTTTGTCACGTGTTTTGTTCTTCCGTGCACGTCCGTACACCTTCAGACATTGTTTATGTTTAATTGTGTTTCTTTATTGTTATTTTTTCTTTCTTTCTTGCCCTTGTTCTATTTAGAGAAAAATCTCTCAGCAAGAGAGCATGCAAATGTCTGTGATCAGAACATGCTGGAAGCCTTGCAGAAGCAGTTTCCTGAACCGAGAGAAGAAGTACCGTGCTTGATTCTCGGTGAGACCACTATGCGCCCTTCAGGGACCCTACTAGCGATGGCCACCCCAATAGCGATGGTCTCCAACCTGGCAGAAATCAACTTGCATTCTGGAAAATGAGGACTGCTGCGCATCCGCCCCCAGAGGCCACCACGGCATAAAGCGACGATATACGACGTTTGAAATCCGTTCGAAGTGATTACGCGGCACAGCGGAAAGTGTATTGGGGTACGATTTGTGCATTTGTCGTTCATGTGTTGCTCAAGTTTCAGAAAGAAGGACAAAGGGCATCGCTACTAGGAGCAAGGATGCTACTAGGGGCTCCTGGCCTTACTACTAGGAACAATGTTTGCTATTAGAAACAAGAGATATATAAATATAAATAGAATGTCTCCTTTCATTTCTGAGGTAGGGCGGTAAGAACATGTAAGAACTGTTTTGTGACGCAATGGCAATGGCCAGGGGGAGGCACCAGAGGCTTTGGCATTGCTTTTGGAACGTGTTGTCATAGTGCTTGTGGCCACGGGCCATGACAGAGACATGAAGCTCATCAAGCGGCTTGGTGTTTGACCATAGAAACTCCATGACTCAGCGTTTGGCTTCCCATACATTTTCAGATTGATCGTTCCGATAACAGAATTCTTAGTCTTAAAGTTGTGTATTTAGACTGCGTATGTATCCCCTACGAATGTACGTAAAGAACATAATTGATAATTGCATACCATTGCTGAGAATTTCTTCAAGGTGCCTATGTTGAGCCTGTTTGGGCAAACACCCCTTTGTCATGTTTACATGTGAGGACCGTATTTGAGAGCTTCCACGTGGCTCGTGAAAGCCCGCCCTTGCTGCGCTTGCTGGCGATGTTGCAAAGCTCGGGGCACCTGCTCAGGTGAAGCTTTTAAACTTGTGCGCGGTGACTTCAAAATGTCCAAAAGGTGTTGACAGGAGCTGCGTTTTAGAGTATGAGCATAGTTAAGCCGTTTAGCCAAATTGTTCCTTGTGCTAAAATGCGTTTGTATTCAAGGACTCCGTGACTTCATCACGTCCTGAAGAACTGTCTCAAGATGTGTTTAGTTCAACCGACAATGGGTCCAACAAATCTGAGACTTCTTGATGTCAATGTTTGAATGAATTCAAAGGTTGACTTCTTTTTCATGATGCGCACTCCATGTGGATAGAGATTTTCAGACCTCCCGAACCCTGGTGATGCGCGTGGCGAAGCTTGCCCAGCTTGGTTGACAAGAACAATGATCTCGGCTAAGTGCAAGGAAGGGAAGAAGCTCCATTGGTCCGTTGCATCTTAGCGCATCGCACCTCCTTTGGCTCAAGCCACATCGCCTAAGATAGGTGCAGAAGGCCGTGAAGCCATGAAAGGCTGGTACAAAGGCGACTGGATGATGTGGGGGCCCATGCCATGGATGCCCATGCCCTATCCCATGGGCCCCATGGACTTCGGCAAAGGTTACGATTATGGCAACACAGTGGAAAACATGGCAAGTTTTGAGTGACTGTTTACCACCAAGAACGGATTCTAAGCCCAGTGCCACTAGAACAGTTGGAGATATGCAAATTTGCTTTTCCCGATGCACTTTGAAAGCCCTGTTCTGATAGGCGGCAGTGTTTGGCGGTTAGACGAATGAGTAGGCGATAATGTGTGTTCTTACAGTCATACAATTCATACAATGACATCACTTCTTACACAATTCATAATTGATTGATTCTTCTAGCGGGCGCTGTTCCGAGTAAAGAGACACATTTGTGTTTGGGCTCAACCAAACGCCTCTAGAATGTGTTCATGAAGCCTTCAAGGTTTATGAAACCGTGCTTTAACATGATTTAACCTGTTTTAACCATTCATGGTGTTTTCAACTATTTCTAAGTTTTGGTACTGAGGCAAAGGCTACGGAAAGGGCTTTGGCGCACCGAAAGAGGCCAGGGGCCTGGTGCGCGCGGTGGTCTCGGCACAAGTGGTTCCAGGTGGCAAATGGAACAACGACGACAACACGTGCCTCGACGACACACCTTGCCAGCCTCACCACAATTGTCAAGCATTGTTCAAGTAATGTAGACTCTTGACCAAAAAATTGATTGCAAACCTTTTCTAGGGTTTGCATTGTTTTTCCCCATTAGTTGCACTAGTTGTTCAAAAGCCTCTCAAGGGCTGACAAGTGGTAAAGTGAGACCAAAAGGAAAGAATAGCATGGCAAACAAGAAACGAAGGAAAGCGAAGGACAAGTTGTTAAGAGGCTGATACTTCAGCAAAGTCCAACAAACTTATCTCATGAACGACGCGGTTTCAAGAAAGCCTTGTAGTCCATAGTGTCTATTGCAAGTTTGAGTTTTTAAAGGACCGAGCAATTCTGATGGTTCGTTTAGGAGGTGAGGCTGCCAGAGGTCCTGAAGTAACTACTGTAGTTGAAATTGAAGAGCACGCGGGTCATGATTCCTTTGTGCGGGCAAAGCACATACAAACAGAAAGTGAACTTCAGTCCGTTTAGAGCTCTTTGTGTTTCTTAGGTTGCTTTCCTCAAAAACTTCTAGGAACTATGGGAAGCTTCTCCCTCCCTCAAAGTTTCGCTGAAGAATCCGATCCCTTGCAGTGTCTTCCTTATTTTGTGTAACCGGCCTGTTCCGCTGCCCTTGTGGAGGCGCTGGTTTGCAGGTGTGATAGGAAGTGAAGGGAGGAAAGGGAAGGGACAAAGGAAGAGGAGAAGGAGTGAGAAACAGGAATGAAGAGGAGGAAGAGGAAAGGCAAGAGCAAAAGAAACGATCAGGAATGGCAGGGAGGAAGGGAGGGAGGGAGTTAGTTGAAGTAAAGATCCGTTCTTCGGCTGGCAGCTTTCTTTCTGTTTCTCTATTTTTCTTTTGATGTGGTAGCTTCCTTAAGCTACCAGCTACATCTTACTTCCAACTTTTGCCAGTCTTCAAAGTTTGGGGGGTCCCCCTTAGCAACGGACACACCCACACAGAGAGGCACGCGCATATACATACGTTGACATACTAAGTGCAGACCAGATGCCGCTGAGAAAAGTCCTTTTGGGGAACACTATCTAGCCCCTAGTTGCAAGTTTAGCACTTTGTGGCCATTGGCCATACCTTTTCTTGTCCTCTGCCTCTAAACTTTGTAACTCTGGGGGTGTTGGGGCGCAAAACAGATGGCACTGTTTCAGCACAACTTACTGTAAGCCAAAAGAGATGCCAATCTTCACACTATTTCACGATATAGATGGCGCATCTATGGTCAAATCTGTTGGTCTCCCAGCAAGGTCATTTGCGGCCGTATTTGCAAGAGAGGTGAATTCTTGACAACACATAGTTGCTTGTTTGTGCCACCCTTGGTTTGACGTGTTAGAGGTATATATTCAGATGTATGATATGCACACGCACATACACACACATATAAATATACACATGCGTACGTGGAAGAAAGGACATGTTATCCATTCCAAGGCTGTTTGTGGGCGGGCTGCCCCCTGATACCACAAACCTGGAGATGTATCAGATTTTCTCCGCCTTTGGGCCGATTGCTCCAAGGGGAGCCACTTGGAACTTGGCGGTTCAAGCTTTTGGCACGATGCAACAAGCAGAACAAAGCAGCGCTAAGTTGGTTAGAGACTGCAGAACTAAGTTCAAAGTCTTCAGAATGTGGTTAGAGATCTGAGATCCATCCAGATTGACAGGGAATTGGGAACATGTTCCCGTAGGCTTGCCTTTCTTGCCTTTTTTTGGTTAGATTCGCCTTAGGCTACAGCTCTGCTGGACAAAGACACCGGAAAGTGTACAGGCATTGGTTTCATCAATTACATGAATGCCGAGGCTGCTGAGAAGGTGCGTCGCAATGTATGCCCGGAAACACAAAAGTTGACACGAGTAGCTCCCCTTTTGCGTACGTAAGACAAGACTTGTGCAACTGTGTAAGGCTCTTCATTTCAGCGGCTCGATATATTAGCAGATGTTAGCAGTGTGGGGACACATGAAAGAATCATCGAGCAATTGCATAGGTTACCAGTGTTACCTGTGTTCAAAGCAGCTTCATCACTTGAGCTTTGGGTTATGCTCTGTGTGAGGCCATCCGAGCTTTGAATAGTTGGCCTTTTGAAGATGGTTCCAGATTGACAGTGAAGAAGAAGGGGCCACCCAAGTCAAAAGGTGAAGGAAAAGGAGATCGAGGAGACAGAGACCGCGATAGAAGCGAGAAAGGTGAAAGAGGAGACAGAGACCAATGAATCTAGAACTGCATGTTCAGAGGTGCTACATATAGCCTCTTTTGTTAACAAATAGCAATGCCCTCCAAACTAAAAGCGATGGCCTCCAACCTAATAGCGATGAAATCTAGAACTGCATGTTTTAGAGGTGCTATGAGGTGCTACATGGTCCTGCACTGCTTTCAACAATGAATGCACCTAAGCTCAGTGGAGCCAGAATGGCAACATCAACGGGAGTGATAAAACCGACCCGACTATCAACCGCAATGCAATAAGAGACGCCCGATCCCAGAAACAACTCTCTATATATATAGGTACATACAACTCAAAAGATCTTGGATTGAACTGAACAATGACCACAGTGACCCTACCATACAGAGATATACAGAGTATTTTTTTGTTCTTTGGTATGGTTGTCCCCTTGTTCTCTCGTTGCTTCTCGGTCTCCTGTTCCTCGCGGGTCCTCTGACGTCATGTCGCTCAACCTGGTTGTTCGCTCATGGCAACCTAATAGCCTCGGTCATTTAACAGCAATGGCCTCCAACCTAGTAGCGTCCTTGCTCCTAGTAGCGATGCCCTTTGCTCCTAGTAGCTTCTTGCTCCGTAGTAGTAAGGCCAGGAGCCCCTAGTAGTGTCCTTGCTCCTAATAGCAATGGCCTCCAACCTCTTGCACATACTTGCTGCATTTATCCTGTATGTTTTGTGAACAAGCCCTTTGCGAGTGCTTGAACGATTGGCAATGAGACTTTCTCGTGTGTGTTCTTCATGGCTTCTTCCACACCAAGGCCAAGGCCAGCCAAAATCGAAATAGCCGCAGCAACAACACTCCTAAATTGCATCACCAATTTTTGAACACATAACACCTATGCTGGGATGTCAGGATAAATTATACCTGGCAGTCGGACTCCAACTGTAGATGACCTTACCTTCCAACCTTTGGAGATCAAAACCTATCAGACAAGCTCCTGTTTGGACTATTTTTCAGGGCCATGCCAAACCCGCAGGTCACAGCCTCACATGCTCAAAGCGGCACAAGTGCCAGCAAATTGGATTCCGCAAATACTAGCAAGTCAGAGAATCAGATGCTCAAAGTGTGGCAAATAGTAACACTCAGGGCCCTACAGTGCTGTAAGCAAAGCATCAGAAACTCAGAGGCCTGCGCAACCACTGTAGGACTTTGATAAATGAAAAAGGTAGCACTAAATTCTTTTGTGCTCCTAGACCAGATGTTGAAAAGGGAACACGTTCACTTCTGAATAGGTAAATGCTGGGTGCTGTTATGTGCTGTTTGATGTTGTGTCCACAAGCCCACGTGAAGCCGTTGTGTATATTCCTGCGCTTCCCGTTGCACACGAAGCCAAGGACCTTCCTGGATCCAGATATAGCTTCATTAAGCAAACGCAGCAAACGCGTTGCGCGCTGCTCGGCTGAAGTAGCTTATCCAAGTGAGCACAAGTGCAGTACGAATATGCTTTGGTGGGGTGGTCACATGCCCAGGTCAATGCCTCCATGATATGTGAGGCACGTTATTTTTGTCAATCGGCAGCTTCTGCTTTCGCCGAGACCAGCCAAGTGAAAGTTGGTTCTTGGTGCAAGTTCCCAGCTTGCTTTTTGCAGGGACATCGACTCAAAATGCTGAGTGCGGGCAAGTGCAGACTAAACTACGTTTGGGTAGAAAATGTGAGCTCCCTTGGAACGACCAGATGAACTGTGCGCGTGAGAAGCATTTAGATTTAGATTCGTTGAAGTCGTGTTTTCCAAATTGACCAAATCCTCTCCACATACAACAAAGGAACACGCCTGCAGCTTCACCACATGTTCACGCCTGCAGCTGTTTCCAACTTTCGAAAGGGGTTGTTGAACTGGTGAGGCCCAGCGCGGCCTCCTTTCAGACACACCGGGAATTATTGTTCCTAGTAGCGATGCCCTTTGTTCCTAGCCTAGTAGCTTCTTGTTACTAGTAGTAAGGCCAGGAGCCCCTAGTAGCTTCTTGTTCCTAACTTGTGATGTCCGAGTCGGAAAGGGAAACGGTTTTTGCATTCTCCACTGGTGCGCTGTCAGTTTTGTCCGCTTGGCAGACGCCGCTCTCCAAAAAGCACTACTACTTGAACTCTTAAAACACGCTAGTAGCACTGTAGCAACGCTATGAATTGAACCTGAGCTCATGAGTATTTCAGTTTGTCACTTCCTACACTTGCTCGCCCTTCTCTTCATCTTCTCTTCATGCCTTGTGCAGGCCCATGGTAGCACAAAGTCTGCTGAACCATGGCCTTGAAACCAGTACCTTGTTGAAAGGCTAAGGAACCGGCGTGAGCAAACGTGAGAGCCCGTGAGAGCTGAGAGCGAGAGCCCGTTTGGTCTAAGGCCTGGTTCGCAGATGTTGGTGGCCAGACCGATTCTGCGGCGAGTCCTCAGCTTGCTCTGACATGCGACTTGTTGCACTTAGATGGCATCGGCTTGCAAAGCTCAATTCGTCACAACAGTGGCAAAGTGCATCTTCTTGAGTGCTGATCACTAGAGTCACTTTGTTTTGGCCTGGCTTGAGGCGCAGCTTGTGGGAGAGACTTGGAATTGAAGTCTATGATCTCTCGTGTGAAAATTACTTGATTTCTTCTCACGATGGCCATCCTTGAGGATCCAAAGATGTTCAGTGTCTGACATTTCGGTCTAGAAGCATTCCTGGGACTTGGGACACTTTGCTGGTGGCCCTTGTGAACAGGAATGCGGAGAAGGTCGACCGTTTGCCTCCACCTGGTGCGTGTGAGAATCCAAAGTACATTGACGCTTCCTTTGCACTTGGACAGCTGTAAGACTTCTGAGCCACGCTTCAAGGCAACAAGAGTATATACATGTTTTCATCCTGTGATATGGTTCCCGATGATCCCACCCCTCGTTGATGGTGGCTTTCTCGTAAGGTGTCTCGAATCGTGAATGTTTTAGTCGCATCAGCTTGCTGAAGCTGAGCACGAGTCTCAAGATGTTGCAACATGAGGGCATCATGAACCGTTTGCCACCGGCTGGTTCTCATGATGTGCTTCATGATTCATGATGAAATTCATGATGCCTCATGTCACTCATGTCCTTGGATTCAGATGACTGGAAGTCGAGACCGCTATGGGTTCATGAAGAGAGGGCGACTGGACAGCTTGTCCTTCCCTTCTGAGGAGTTCCCCGGTCGCAAGTAGACAAGCGCGAAGACACAGTGGGGTGGTGGATGTACAGTAATTAGTTCCTTTGAACTGGTTTGATAATGTGTTCTCTCTTTGATTTGTGGTGCTCATTTAGGTGGCACAAATGCTGCAACTTGGCACCACGCGAAGTCATGTGCAAGATACTGTAAGCATATCCAAATTTGCTCAGCCGCAGGCATGATCAACGATGGCAAGAAAATGCTTTGCAACTGGGCATGCTTGGGCAGAGTAGTTCAAAGAGTCCTACCCTACGAGGGGCAAGCTACAAATTTGACCTATAGTACTACATGGATCATGTTCCTCATCAATCCAGCCATGCAACATACAACTAAGCCATGATTCTACACTCTTGAAAGAAAAATGGGCCAATGTAAGCGTAGTCAAGAGGCAAGGTGGCAGGGTTCTAAACGTGAAACTTAAAAATTAAAAGCAACGTGAACCGGAAACTTCAACAGCGGAAAGAAGGGGCAAATCATGACGTGACAACTGCTGAATTTGCAAACTGCCTGGCAACCTGATATCACGTAAACAACCCCAGAACATTCAGCACCGGAAGCAGAACATGTTCTTCTCCTTGTCCAAGCACCAGCATCGAAAAGAAAGTGGAGCTGTGCGAAGCGTTTTTGCAGAACAATGCAAGTTGCATTAGCATCGGGGAGTAAGAAAGGATCAAGTCAGTGGCGTCCATATAGAACCTGGCCAGCATAAGAATCATATAAGAATCATAAGAATGTTAATTTGCAGGATTGATTTGGATTGAGCAAGAACCCTAGCTCAATCGAAACACCCAACCTGAACTTCGCAAGCATGGAAGACATAAAGTGTGGAGCTGTAAGCAGCGAATCCGTATGAAGAGTCTCGGAAAATGCTGGCAAAGACCTAAGACGAACCGGGTACCAATATGCATAGTATGGTGTGCGTGATGGCCATGGAGTCCAACAGAGAAAACCTCGTGGTTTGTGCATTCACATGCCGCTGCACGAATTGCCTGTTTTGCGCAACATTGTGGGCAAAAGAACTGCCCATGATTCGTTAGGCATAAAATTTGCGAGTTCAGTTCATGTCGTAAACGTAAAGTGGTGGGCGTGTGTGTGTGTGTGACAGAGGGAGAGAGGCTGACGTGCCAGTGGTCAAGGTGAAGATGTCAGTGCGATGCCCTTCTCGGAACTCATAAACCAGCATCATGGGATGTGTCTTGGACCGACAAATTGCAAAGAGGAATGGTTATGAGAGAGTTGGTGGTGGTTCAAAAATGTTAAAAATCTATGTCATCTATGTTGTTGGTTTGGAGTATGTTTGCAAATTGGACAGGATGCCCAGGCATTCGCCAGGAATGTTCCAAAATCCCTATGCGGTGCGGCTGTGCCATGTTCAGAGAACAACGAAAAACAAGACGGTCGTAACAACGAGCAACAGCTAGCGTTGAGGTGTGGCACCCACGCTTGTATGGGAGCAGATGAACGCTGTTTGCATGTAGATCATCAAGAGGCGCAACATTCATGTCCATTGACCAACTGATGGTTTCGACGTGCAAAGCTTGCAGCACTGGCAGTTGCTCCGAGAATAACAAGAAACGAACTCCAAGCAATTGCACTTGAAAAGAATGAACTTTAAGCGTGTGATTGAACTTAAGTAGTTGCACCGGAAGTGGCAACTACGAACTTGGGTAGTTTTGCAAGGTTTTGCCCACCGTGCTTGGAGCCATTATGAGCCATTGTTTCCCTTCACACTCGGGAGTTGCCATGTTTTCTGTAGTCTTGGCCGGAAATCTTGTAGGAGGAACTTACGAGCCCAAAGAAGGGGCAGTGTCCTGGCGATGCTCGGCTGAAG